CTGAAATAAAATGAAAATAAATTAAAGCTATATAAAATATTAAAACAAAACAAAAACTAACACAAATTACATTACTAAAATTGAAACGATGATTAAAATGAAAAGTGAAAATATAAAAATAATTAGTTAATTTAAAATATCAATAAATACTATAATAGTATAAAACAGCACTAAAATAACACCTGCCTACTTATCATTAACCATTACATTCTCAAGTATTTTCAAAGGTTCACGGCTCAAACATTTGAGCTAAACCAAGGCATTTCCTACCTCAGTCATTTCAGGTGATTTGATTTCCTTGATCTTAAAGAAGTATCCTATAGTGAGGAAAGCGATAGCCACAGCACTGACGCTGACCATAAAAATAACCAGCGGTGGACGGTTACTTATGTAGGTCTTTAGATTCTCCAGTGGATTCAACAACAACACCTGCAACAAGAGAAAAAAAAAGAAGTCCCTCAAGCTTAGGGAAACTTTCACCTACATCAACACTGGCATTGAATTCACAAGCACTTAATCACACTCCAGTAAATTCTAATTAACGTCTGACATCTGAATAGGAACCGGTTTGTGTTAATCTTACCCATACGGCACAAAGGTTTGCTAAGCACTAACATATGGCTCCAAGTCAATATTTGGGTCTTATTAGTTTATTATTTGTTCTCTCTTCACTTCTATGCATGACAAGAGCTGAACTGTGAAGTTTCACAACTTGCTTTAGAGTCATTAAGACATGTATGCGCACCTAAACACCAGTCAATGGCAGATCTTGATTCTAAGTCTTGCTTCTGTCGCACAATATCAATATTAACAAGGATTACTCATTACAAAATCAAATATTATTGCAGCTTAAGAATAATTAGAGGACTATAACTCAATTGTGTTGAGAACAACCAGAGATACTGTCAAACAGTTTAGGGTAGAAATGCAAGCAGAAACACCACACCCCACACACATACTAGAACAAACACTGGATCAATGAGTTGACAAAATGAATAAAGAGACAATACTATCAGTAAATAACCTGACATCTTCTGGGTGGCCGAAAAACTGTTTTACACCAAAAGACAAATTAAATTAAGACAATTCAATCTCGCAACTATCAAGAAACCTCTTTTCCTTAACTTGCAGAAGCAACAGCGTGGCATGGATTACGAGCTCATGCTGGTTTGTGCATTATGCAACATATGTAACACAACCTCACGTTATAGTGAGTTGAGGCATATGTTTTCATCCTTACAGCTGTACTCGGAACATGAAAATAAATTTGACAAAGATCAACAATCTATCATTTTTTTCTTCAAAATATTGGACCCAAATTGTTCTTGTTGTTCAGTTCCATTAATGGTTCTTGAACGTGCATTCTTCATCACATGACCTCATCAATATTTAACTTAATTCAGTGAGTGATTGCATAATTGCATGTTCAAGAGCCATTAACTTGCTTGTCGTGATTCTCTGATTGGTGGACATTTCTCTGCAGAATCATGGATAATGTTGTTTTTCATGAGGAATTCTTATGTTGAATATGATTTTTTTTTTTTAAACAAGTTCAAATAACGTGGGCTGATGGTTTCAACAGACTCATATTCCATTGATTAACCTCGTAGCTCACAATAAGCTATTGTTAAAAAAATAACTGTGTAGCGTCTGGACCACTCCAACACACAATATATATTTTGTTAGCTAGATTTCACAAATACTTTGTAACACCCCAGGACGCCGAACAAGACCCTGGTTTCATGGTAACCCGATACATTTACAACCTTGTGGAATGCGAGCCGGCTCTCATTCTGCTTTCTCCAGAAACAAGGGGTAAAAATGCACAGGAGAAATGGACTGTTCTACTAATTAATTCATAGGAAAACCTTCTTTGAATGAACACCCATTTTCTTCAGGCCAGTGTGTATATTATTGCTGTGTTGTATTTAATCTGTTGTATTATAGACTATTTTTATCCGTGCTTAGTTATGGTTAATTATTCATATTTCCCATGAGCTGATTCGCTACAACTGAATGAAATTGGGTTTTTACTTCTTAGCTGCTGCACTAACCACCTTATTTTTTACGCATTTTGCAACTTGAATGTGCCTTGGGATTTCAGCCTTCCTCATTGGACGAACCCATCTTGAGAGGCGTGAATCTCTGCAGGCTTTAAAAGGCCACACTCCATGTGACCCGCCCTGTTCGGTGGTTCAGTGAGATGCTAAGATGAAGATGTGAGAAACGCTCCAGGATACCAAAGCTCGTGCCAGGCTCCGGCCTAGTCCTTTTCATTCATCAAGTGATTCTGACTCAAACTAGCTCTTTTTCATCAACCAACTTCAGCAAGATCTTGGGGCCTTAAGATTGCATCAGGAATCTTTTTCAGACATACGCAAGTATCAAACTTAGTCGATTTAATTGATGCATTAAGTATCAGTTACACCTTTTTACAAGGTTTGTTTGAACTAAGAATCTGACGTTTTCCCTCAGGTTTTAGATCTGTTGAATATGCAAAGTGTTTCATAAAATTCATTCTTTATGCCTCTTTCTATGCTGAGTTAAACTTTAACCCTTTCCTATACCAACTGTTTGTGTGTGTGTGTGTGTGTATGTGTATGTTAGACTGGCTTAATGTGTTTATGTAGTATGTTGGACTAGTTTAAGTGTTTATGTAGTTAATAAAACCTTACTTGTATCACACTTGATGTGTTCATTGTTTACTCATAACCGGAGTCAATAATCATGCAGATTTATGTTACAAACTTATAGAATTGTACAGTAAGAAGGTTATTTCCTTTAACCAGGAAATTAACGTTCTTAGAATTGACAAGACGGTTGACCCTGAGTGGTCAGCTAAATATCTACAGTGGATCTAAAATATGAATAGTTAATTATAACTAGTTATGGTTAATTATTCATATTTCCCATGAGCTGATTCGCTACAACTGAATGAAATTGGGTTTTTACTTCTTAGCTGCTGCACTAACCACCTTATTTTTTACGCATTTTGCAACTTGAATGTGCAAGGCTTCCGGGGACAGCTGCTTCCAGTTATTTTCACTGAAAAAATAGACCACTACTCCTCTTGACATTGTAAAATGATATTTTATCATATTATTTTAAATGCATTTTTGTAATCATAAACACACCGGTTTGTAACGCAATATAGTTTTACCGTTTACTGCACTCTGGTATCTAGGCCTATACGTTTATATAATTATGGCCAACTCTTGAATGTCGTACATGCCACCTCTAAAAGTCTGTGAAATGCCATTAAACAAAACAGACATTTTACAAGAATTTCATAAATACTATCTCTGGCTTGTTAGGTCCTATATTTGTTCTGTTGAAACTATAAACGATCTCAAGAGTTGCCAGCAGACTGTCGAGGGAGGTATTTTTACAAATATTTCTTCCTCATAAGTAGTAAAGGATCTGTGAATTCGAAGTAAATCAGAATAGGAATCGTAAAATTCCTTATGACTCGTATCACTATTTTTATAGACGGGTCTAAGTGGCAGTATTTTGCGGGGGGGACTAATTCTCATTAATAATTCTTTATTAATTATGTTTATTATAGTTTATTTACTGAACAATTGTATTGGGTTCTTCTTTATCGTGTTGGAATATTTATATTGTGTATTTTATGTTTCAGTAGTCATTTACTCGTTCCAAATCTAAAACACTTTTTTTCCACAAATGAAAAGCAAAAGATTTAGCTGTTCATAAAACCACAAATCACGGTGACCATGCCTGTCAGTTTTTAAAATCGCCACGAAATCAAAATTGATCACTCTTATTTTATGGAATTTTGAAGTGTTAAATTTTTTTTCCCACACTTTTTTTTAAAAGTTAATCTACCCTCAGGAAGTGTGTTAAGAAAGCAATTAAACAGTCTGTGTAAACAGACCTTTCACAAAAATGTCAATTCATAAATCGTATTTCTGATTTGTTAGGTCCTATAATTGATCTGTTGAATCCAGAAAAGTCTGGCAACAGACTACTGAGGGAAGTCTTTTTTTACAAACATTTCTTACTCATAAGTTGTAAAGGAAACCTTTAAAAAACAGAATCATTAAGAAGAAATATAAATCATAATCGTTAAACTCCTTAGGTTTAGCTTCCCTATTTTTACAGACAGGGGTCTAACCGGCAGGTACACTCGGTTATGTATCATATTTGCTCTTATTAGACTGCCGATGTCGGCCTGAATCTCTCGACCTCTTTGTCATAGTCTGCACTCTGCAGCACACATTACACGACGGCTACACGCCAAACTCCAGTGAGTTAACTAGAAAGTATTTGTGGGGCATCACTGACGGGTCTGTGACACCTATAACTGCAGTACATACAGGCCACTCACAATGTTTTGACACACAGCCGACATCTAGCTGCCTGTGTTAGCTACGAGCTCCGATCTGAACGTCACGTATCATTACTGTTCCCACACAGAAACTGCTCAATCTGGCAACATGCAACGCGAGCAGCTATGCGGCTAAGTAGTTAGGCAATCATTCCCAACCACACAAATACGACCTGTTAAGCGATTAACGTAAAACAAGCTGGAAATCTCAAACTCACCATTTTGCCCCCGCGAGTGCGTGCGTGCGTACGACAGCTGCAGGCGGCTAAAGCTAACAGACTCGAGGCTAACGGGCCTGAGCGACAAACACACAGCTGACAGCGGTATAGGAGTGCCCAACACCCCTTCCCATTATTTGCACGTGCGCTATATTCTCAAAACACGTTTTTATTTTGCCTTTGCGTCTATAGCGAGCTGTTGGTTGACGGAAACAAACTGACTGTAGATGTCTTCTTCTGTGTTTAGGAACCAGCAGAACCAATAGCGTATTAGCGTTACTTTCATTTCTCCACGTACGCCCCGATCACGCGAGGCGGGGCTTAGCACAAATGGGAAGCCTGTCATTGGCTTAGGCAAATCGACGGAGGCTGTGATTGGACGGTTCTCCTGTCAATAGCGCTGCTCGCTGACTGGGGTTGAAATGTGGCGGGCAGCAATATGAAGTCATGAGGATGTCTCATAATATGTGAAGACACCCAGAAGAACCCTGATGTGAAGCGCATAAGTGTGTGTTAATGGGGTTTCTAGCCATCTGGTGAGAAGATCAAGTATTTTGTTGTTAAGATGTTTAACGTAGCGTTCTTGTTATCCCGTTTTTATTAACATTGCTGTCGATTGTGTTCTTAAACTCTGTCTAGGGAGTCATGGTGATCTTGAGAGAAGGGGTCTGCCCTGGAATAAACGAGGAATTCATTAAGGCTTTACAGTCAGAGGATATCAAAACAGGTGTTGACAATGATCACCAAATAGCAACATGTAGCTTCAGTTCATTTCATCTTTCCAGCACTAACAAGAAGTACTAGATAGTAGGAGATGAAACCATCTAGCACAGTAATAGCTTATTAAAAATGTTTTAAAAATCTTTAATGTTAGATTTATTTACTGTGTAATTATCTTGGGTCTTTTTTTTATTGTGTTGGAATTATATATCTGTATATTGTGTATTTTATGCTTCTGTAGTTATTTACTCATCCAAAATTGTTTAAAAAAAATAAAAATAAAAAGTTTTTTTCTGCTCATAGCTGTTCATACAACCACAGATCATGGTGGTCAAATCTGTCAGTCTTTAAAGTCGCCATGAAATAAAAATGGACAATTTTATTTTTGAATGGAATTTTACAGTGTTAAATGATTTCTCCAGGCAGATCTTTTTTTCCCTTCTCATTCGTGTACCCTTATAATTATAATCGTAAAGTGGTCTAAATGACTGGAGAAGTCTGTAATACATAACTAGAGAGAAGCCTGTTGTTTTTACCAAAAGATTCAGTTTAACCTTTTGGTAAAGACTGAAGTTAAAAATTGAAAAATGTGCAAATGAATTATTCACAGTAAGATCAATAACATGCATTAAAAGTAGATAGAACATTTCATGTTGCCTTATAATTGACTAAATAAACCCATACAAGCACCACAATAGAATTCCATGTGAAATTTGAGATATATTCATAATATGAGTCTTCTGGAGCCATAAGATAGCTTTGATAATGAAATTCATGTCAGAAACCTGTCAAACAAACAGTGGTATTTTGGCCTTGAATGCCTTGGCGGAGGGGGAAAAAATTCCTTGAATAATGAAATAATTTTTGGTCTGTTCCTCGCAAAAAAAAATTTGAATTGAGTTTGACAATGAACTGTCGTTGTATAGAAAAGAGCTGAGTGTGTTCCAACAAAAAAAATAACAGCGCAGTTTGAACCGACATGAATAAAAAAATAGAGGACTGTTCATTGAAGTACTGTTGCTGCTCAAGCACTATTGTCCCTTATGGGAATCAATAAAGTATTCTTTACTCCATGACTGCATGTGGCCTTGTAATAATACATGTTTAATTCTTTCAGTTGAAGACTTTGTCTCATGTAACCCAGAAGAACTTGCACGAAAGTGTTCATTGTCTTATGTGGAATGACTTCATTTTTAGTGTGCTTTTCTTACTTCAGCTAACGCCTATTAAATCAGGCCTCACCTTTATTTACCACTATCCATCACTGAGACTGTGTAACTACACTAAACAAAGTTAGCAGACTAAATACTGTGTTATCTTTCAGGCTCTAGTAGCTGTTCGGCGTGTGCTGTTGGCTCAATACACAGCTTTTCCCGTCTCTGGAGCAGATCTCTATGAGGAACTCTTGAGCTCCACAGCAATTTTGTCCACTGGCAATCCCAGGTCCCAAACATATATGTGGAGAATTCATAGTATAATATGGTGTACAGTTGAAAGGTTTGGGGTCATTGTTTTTTTTTTTTTAAGAAATTAATATTTACAAGGATGCATTTCAAAATCAAAAGTGACCGTAGAGACATTAATGTTTCTATTTTAAAGAAATGCTGTTTTTTTTGTATTCATGAAAAAATAAATATCACAATTTTCCACAAAAATATTAAAGCAGCATAACTGTTTTCAACATAAAAATAAGAAGCGTTTCTTCAGCATATTAGAATAATGTCTGAAGGATCATGACATATATCATTGGCTTCTGAAAATTCAGCTTTGCATCACAGGAATAAGTTACATTTTAAAATATATTAAAATAGAAAAATTATTTTGAAATGTAATATTGCACAATATTATTGTCTTTACTGTATTTTTGATCAATAAATGCAGCCTTCATGAACATAGCCTTCTTTGAAAATAAAAAAATAAATAAAAATCTCACCAACCCCAAACTTTTGAATGGTCTGTTGCTGCTCAAGCACTATTGTCCCTTATGGGAATCAATAAAGTATTCTTTACTCCATGACTGCATGTGGCCTTGTAATAATACATGTTTAATTCTTTCAGTTGAAGACTTTGTCTCATGTAACCCAGAAGAACTTGCACGAAAGTGTTCATTGTCTTATGTGGAATGACTTCATTTTTAGTGTGCTTTTCTTACTTCAGCTAACGCCTATTAAATCAGGCCTCACCTTTATTTACCACTATCCATCATAGAGACTGTGTAACTACACTAAACAAAGTTAGCAGACTAAATACTGTGTTATCTTTCAGGCTCTAGTAGCTGTTCGGCGTGTGCTGTTGGCTCAATACACAGCTTTTCCCGTCTCTGGAGCAGATCTCTATGAGGAACTCTTGAGCTCCACAGCAATTTTGTCCACTGGCAATCCCAGGTCCCAAACATATATGTGGAGGATTCATAGTATAATATGGTGTACAGTTGAAAGGTTTGGGGTCATTGTTTTTTTTTTTTTTAAGAAATTAATATTTACAAGGATGCATTTCAAAATCAAAAGTGACCGTAGAGACATTAATGTTTCTATTTTAAAGAAATGCAGTTTTTTTTGTATTCATGAAAAAATAAATATCACAATTTTCCACAAAAATATTAAAGCAGCATAACTGTTTTCAACATAAAAATAAGAAGCGTTTCTTCAGCATATTAGAATAATGTCTGAAGGATCATGACATATATCATTGGCTTCTGAAAATTCAGCTTTGCATCACAGGAATAAGTTACATTTTAAAATATATTAAAATAGAAAAATTATTTTGAAATGTAATATTGCACAATATTATTGTCTTTACTGTATTTTTGATCAATAAATGCAGCCTTCATGAACATAGCCTTCTTTGAAAATAAAAAAATAAATAAAAATCTCACCAACCCCAAACTTTTGAATGGTATTATTAGGTGTATGCATTTTGTATTAAGGCTCTGAGCAAAACTGTGCTGTTTTGTCTTCAGTTTGGATAAGCTGTTAGATTCTGGGCTCTACACGGGGGAGATAACTGAGCTGACAGGAAGTCCAGGGAGTGGGAAAACACAGGTGATCTTTTGTCCTGGAAACTCTTTTCAGTTTCTTGATCCTGCTCTACAATGTCAAAATCTAGCCTGCATTTATTACCTGTTAGGGTTGGGTGGGCAAATGGGTGAGTGTTCAATAATGCTCTGTGTGTCTCTCGATCACTTTGTAGGTGTGTTTTAGTGTTGCAGTTAATATATCCCACCAGCTGAAGCAGACTGTGTTTTACATTGACACAAAGAGTGGTATGTGTGCGAACCGACTGCTTCAGATGCTACAAACCAAGACCCCTAATATGGAGGAGCAGGTGAATAAAGTATAATTTAGTAATTAGTTGTGCTTCCTTGCTCAACTATTCCAAACGAACAGCATTTGTGTCATAAAGTTGATTATTTTAAACAGTATTATATCATACTGTGCTCCAGAGGTTACGTTTTTCCTTTTCAATACATTGATGGAGGCACTTCAAAAAATCAAGGTGTTCCGAGTATTTGATGTCTTCTCTTTGCTCGCATGTCTTCAAAATCTGAGATCAAATGGCCTTCAGAGGGTAAGTATTGTTCTTTTTAAAAGTCTGTTGATATAAGTGGTTGTTTGTAACAGAACTCTTGAATGTTCCCTAGGCGTCTGTCGGAGGTGGTTCAGTCAAAGCGCTGATGGTGGATTCAGTCTCTGCTGTGCTCTCATCCATGCTCGGAGGGAAACAGAATGAGGGTATTTGTTTACAATATTGCATAATACTCATCATAATGTTCTGTTCTAATTAGCATCTTATGCATCAGGTATGTCCTTGCTGATGCAAGTTGCTGGGGAGCTGAAGATGATCGCCAAAGACTTCAACATTGCTGTACTGGTATGCACCTTTCTGTTTCCTGTTACAAACAAAAACAAAACTGGAATTATTACGGAATTTCAAAATTGTGGGTCCAAGCCTGGAGAAGTCTAATGTGCATAAATACTGCTTGTTTTGTTCAAAATAGAATATGGAATTGCTCTTTGTGAATGATAATAAAATGAAAGTTAGCATAAAATGAAAATTCACCTTATGAATTTAAGTGCACGTTAGAAAAATTCATCCATAAAGATATTCTTATTTTGTTGCAATATTGGAAAAAGACAGATTTCTGCTGCCATTTAGTCTGCTCTTTCTTAGAATTGTCTGCAAGCTCGCATTCAGCCAACTTACCACATCCAATCAACAACCGATTGGTTTTTTTTCCCCCAATAATTTATTTGGCTTGGATCTAAGTCACAAGATCTGTCGCAACTTTCATTCCATTTGCATTAAGAGTGTGACTAAATATTGAAATGCCTTTTGAAATAAATTCTGGTTCTGTGAAATCATGCACTGTAGGTGACAAACCATGTGACCAAAGATGGGAATGGGCATTTGAAGGCTGGACTGGGACAGTCATGGAGTCATGTGTCGCGCACACGTGTGCTCCTGCGGAGAGTGGAGGACGCAGGGACTTCATCCTTACGAACCGCAACTCTGACCAAATCATCACGACAGGTGGTTTTTGGGGAAATAATCCTGATTTTCAAGAATAACCCAATAAAGTCTTTACTTAGTTGGGTACACATGGGACATTACTTCTATTTACTGTTGCGGTTGTTGTTTTTATAATTATCTTCAGGCTTGTCATCTGGTAGAGGAGTTTGATCTTTGTCACTGGTCTGAAGAGAGGAGAACCTCCATTTCAGGCAAGAGGAAACTAGAGGAAAGAAGTAAACCTTGACAAAAATATATAGGAGGTCTATTTAGAGTCGGTGTAAATATGTATAATATTTCTTCAAACGGTTTCTGTTGTGGTCTTTGACCGGTGATAAGACATTTTCTTTCTTTGAATGAATGTTTTTGTATATGTACCGTTTAATCAAGTCAAAAAGACCTTGCATTCTTCTTTTCTTAAAAACATTTGCATAATGTTGGCACCTTATTTAAGTGAAATTGAGCAATGAGTAAATTAAGGAGTCATGTGTCGCGCACACGTGTGCTCCTGCGGAGAGTGGAGGACGCAGGGACTTCATCCTTACGAACCGCAACTCTGACCAAATCATCACGACAGGTGGTTTTTGGGGAAATAATCCTGATTTTCAAGAATAACCCAATAAAGTCTTTACTTAGTTGGGTACACATGGGACATTACTTCTATTTACTGTTGCGGTTGTTGTTTTTATAATTATCTTCAGGCTTGTCATCTGGTAGAGGAGTTTGATCTTTGTCACTGGTCTGAAGAGAGGAGAACCTCCATTTCAGGCAAGAGGAAACTAGAGGAAAGAAGTAAACCTTGACAAAAATATATAGGAGGTCTATTTAGAGTCGGTGTAAATATGTATAATATTTCTTCAAACGGTTTCTGTTGTGGTCTTTGACCGGTGATAAGACATTTTCTTTCTTTGAATGAATGTTTTTGTATATGTACCGTTTAATCAAGTCAAAAAGACCTTGCATTCTTCTTTTCTTAAAAACATTTGCATAATGTTGGCACCTTATTTAAGTGAAATTGAGCAATGAGTAAATTAAAAAAAAAAAAAACGATTTGTTTTCCTCAGCACCACCAGTAAAAATGCACATTATTGACCATTTTCAATGGAAAAACTAAATAAATTTTTGCATTATTCTGCATCTCACCTCTATGTGTCAGTAGAACTCCAAAAATTACAGATTAGACAAGGGGGAAAACCCATGCCATGTTATACAGACACTCACACAATCACTCATACTGGAGAACAGAACTGCTGCTCCCTGTTGCGTGCTCACAATTCAGGTACAAATCAATTTCTTTGTGCACAAAAGGCTTGTTTTAATTAGAATGATTAAACAGTTGAAATTACACACAACTACCATTACTAAGCTAAAGGGCTCTTACCCAATTTACTCTACACAATTATTCATTCCACAATCATGCCTTATGGCTGTTACTATTGTATTGTTAATTACTCATCCTGTGCCCAAGAGCATACTCCATACAAACATCCTTTTCAAAACAGATAAATGACATTGTATCATGAAGTAATCAAAATCATTAGTTATCTACCTCTTTGAAGAATAAGCGTATAACATGAGTGGCAGCACTGGTCAATGTCACCAAGGTTTAAAAATGATAAATATGTGAATCCATAATGAGAATGTCAAAACCAACAAAATTGAAAACAGACAGTTTTCTAGTACAATGTGTGTAATACCACAATGTGGTAAAGCTAACAAAAACATGAAACTGAGACACCGGTTAGAAAAAGTTCATTCAGCTCGTTATTGCTGTAGCTGCGAGTCTGAAGAAACCGGTTTGCTGTTCTCTAATGAACAATGTCATTATAGGACAAAATGCCTGAGCTTTGTGGTAGTGTCCTTCCAGCAGTCTCTCTACCTCATTCAGCAGAGAGGAACCACCCTCCTCTTTCGGATGCATTCCCAGATCCAGTTGGAGGTGACCCTCTGGGCTGAACGGTCATCCTCTGGCTCTCCCAGTGTATGTGTGGCTGAAGCGGAGTCATACTCTGGCACCAAATCTCCATCGTACGCTAGGAAGTAGCGCCGAAGCTTCTCAAAGTCCTGCACTGACTCTGGGAGGTAGAGCTTCACGCCTGTGAAAATGTCCAGTAGTGTCTGCAGGAAGACGACACGGGTTTTAGTGGTGATGAAGTATTGTAACAACAAAATTACACCCATTAGCTTTAAAAGTTTTTTTTTTAATACACTAAGTCAGTGGGGTCCAGTGTTTTTTGGCCAGTCTGACTTTCACTGTGTAGGCAAAAACAGTTGAAACCAATGTAGAATATCTTCGGATAAAAGTTAAGTCACAGGTTTTCAATACACTGCTGTCACTTAATAACTTTACACAGATCTAATATAAACATGCGATTTCTTTCCCAGCGGTTTACCTTCACAGACATAACCGACAGTTTTTGTAACTTGTGTTTTCTTAAAGGGGTCATCGGATGCCCATTTTCCACAAGTTGATATGATTCTTTAGGGTCTTAATGAAAAGTCTATAACATACTTTGGATAAAGTTTCTCAATGGTAGTTCTCAGCTCTGTTTTCAGCAAGCCGTTTTAGTCCATGTTGCTTTAAATGCTAATGAGCTCTGCTGACCCCGCCCCTCTCTTCCATGGGGTGACCAGCAAGCGGCAACCTTCCGTTCTCCCTCGTGAAACCAACACGGAAGTGACTAAAACTACAATTCATCGACTGGCCGCTAAAGGCTGGCTCCAAAACCCATTTTCGGTTATCCGGCAGTGACGCGCTGCCAAGATGGCGATGGCCGGCTCCGCCTACTTTAGGCTCCAAAAACGCTCTTCGGAAACCTACGGGTGACGTCACGGACACCACGTCCGTGTTTTTATACAATCTATGGTGACGAGCAGAGTGTAAACTTAAGCCGAGAGGGTCTAAGGTAAGATGGCTTTGTCAATCAACTATCATGGGAGGGGCCTGTGCAGAACTAGGTCATTCTGCCAGGAATCTCAGAACGGTGATTTAAGAAAGGGGATTTTCAAAATAGGGATTTAAAAAAAAAACACTGGGTGAATTTTTATCATTATAGGGTGGATGTGTATACACACTTCCGACATATTTATGTTCAAACAACATGTAAAGTGAATTTAGCATCCGATGACCCCTTTAACAAACTTGTGTGTATTTGACCGTTGACATGCAAGAGAACTTAGTGTAGTACTCACATGCCGTGTGACGGCAGCTTTCTGTGCGCATGCTTTGGATGTGTGCGCTCAGAAAACCATATTATCAGAAGTTTAAACTGATATGGCTTTAAAACACATGATTTCAGCATGATAGATGTGATAAAACAACATGTTTTTTGACAAAGTATCCGAGGTATGAGATGTAAAGGCACAGCCCTATTAAGGAAAAAGGAGGCAGGGAGCAGCGGCTCATTTGCATTTAAAGAGACAGCCTGTTTCTGCTTCCACTCAAAATAGGCATTTTCAAAATGATATAATAAATTATTGTAGGGTATTTTGAGCTGTAACTTCACAGACACATTCTGGGGACACCTCAGACTTATATTACATCTTGTAAAAAGGGGCATAATAGGTGCCCTTCAAGTACAAAATAGGCATCAAAAGAGGTTAAAAAAAAAAACCTTTTCGTTTTTTGGGTCAGTTGTTTGAACAGTCTTCAATTTGCTTTGTCCATTGCTGTGAACGGGTTCTGTTTTTATCTGAAATAGAACAAGATCACAGGGTTTGAGTGGAGAGATGATCTAAAAACGGATAAATGAAACTGGTGTTCAAAGAAAATATGCTGCCGTTTCAAAGTTTGGGGTAACTAAGTTAAGTTTAGGCCAGTAAACAAGCAGCACAACCATTTTCAAAATTGATAATAATAGTAAATGTTTTTTGAGCACCAAATCAGCATGATAGAATGATTTCTGAAGGATCATGTGACACTGAAGACTGGAGTAATGGCTGTTGAAAATCAACTTTACCATCATAGGAATAAATTACATTTTAAAATCTATTAAAACAGTTCATTCAAATAAATTGTAATAATATCTGACAACATTACTGTTTTACTGCATTTTGATCAAATAAATGCAGCCTTGGTGAGCATAAGAGACTTAAAAAAAAAAACATCTTGATGACCTTAAACTTTTGAATAGTATTGTATAGCATATATGGGTTCATCAGATAACAAACCTTCTTGGCATCTTGTTTCTCTGCGGGTAGTTTCCTCTTAACTGCTGGAGAAGATGATTCTGTTTTCACTGCCTTTACTTTGGGAGCACGACCATTTTCTGAACAGTTGGAACAATTATAGAATGTAAGAACTTTTTTAATGGTATTTTTATGATGCAGATGTCACACTTGACAACTACAGACCAAACAGGATCTGTTCATGGTGAACACTTACTGGTCTTGTTAGCTGTGGAAGCTCCATGAGATGCAGAGAGAGAGCTTCCTCCACTCTCACCTCCTGAGGAGCTCTTGTCATTTTGGCTAGTTTTAGACGGACCAGCTGTCACCTCAAAATCACAGTTCTCCTTTGAAATACGATACAGCTCCTGCAAAAAATAAATAAAATATTTAGTAAAAAAAAAAAAAAGATTACAATATTTGATTTACAAACCAACCTAATAGTTTGCAGGAAAAAAAAAAAGTTTTATTTATAAGAAAGATCATTTATTTAAAGTTGCAATTCTTTCCTATAGTAACTTCAGTAAAAAAAAAAATGGATGGGGATGGGTTGTACCCATCAGATGTTGACTGGTTTTTGTGATGTTGGCATTGCACTAAAAAAAAAAAAATGAATGCGAGCTTGTAGTCAATTGTAGATGGGTGGAGTTTAAGCAGACTAAATGAATGGAGAAGTTTGGCATACATCAGAGAAAAAAAATGCCATTTTACCAGAAGATCGAGTTATGACATTTTGATTAACAACAAAAAATGTGGATCTTATTGTGAATGACTAATCCTTGTATATACCATGCATTTCTAAAACACATGGTTAATATTTGAATTTTTGTCCACTTATTTCACTGATTTATCGTTTTGAACATGCTATGAAAATACATGTAACATTATCTTTGAGATGCTTGATGGCACATTCTACAGTTCCTGGTTGCATCTCTATGTAAAATGCATACGAATATGCAAATATTTTCCAATCAAGGTTACCTTGAGCTGCTGAAGGTTAGTGGCGGTCTTCCAATCTTTGTCGTCTCTCATTCGAGTGCATCGTGGGAAGCGGATGGATATGCCATCTGCAGTGTGCATTTCTGATTTGGAAAACTCGGCTCCTGTTATTTCCCACACTGGTGCTTTCTGTGAACATTGACATACAGGATATATTATTCCTGATAGTCCAATACACAACACAAACTACTACAGTTTCAATTCAGTACAAACATCTTAAACATTTAAGTGTTGTACGGTCTATTAAACACATTCTTCTGAGTTAAAGAGATAACAAGCCAATAAAGTTCCTTCATTGCCATTTTTCTATCACATTCTCAACTGTAACCAGGCTTTTAACAGAGCCTCATCAAGCTCATTTCACATTACAAGCACATAAACATTAAGCATCCCTTCGGTCGTATTAGGAAGAGTCTTACTTCTGGATCTCGGATAATGAAATCTGGGTAATAGTTCTTGACGATCTTCAACCATCCTGGGATCTTGCTTGGATCCTGTGAAAGCAAGATAGATAGGAAACTTATGAGATACATCTTTCATAAATCTGATACGGCAATGGAGGCACTACTGATTAAATCATGATATTTACCTTGCCAATTTTGATGACGTCCAAATCCTTCTGCAGTCTGGCTAAGGTGGCGTCGTCATAGCCTCCTGAACACTTGGTCACAGTGCACCACTTCTTGGATTCTGGGTCATAGCATCCCATAAGGAAACTGGACATAATTCCACCTGGCACACAGAAAAACATAATATTTCTCTCTAGCAATTCTGAAGTTCAGTTATTGTTTAAAACCATTTGGATTGGACTGCCGATACTGACCATTTGAGCCTTTGCCATAGAAAGCACCAAGCACCACGAGGTCAGCGGTGTCCGCCATTGCTCCTTCGTTCAGATAGTCCTTTTTCACCTTTAACCAGTGACGTTTTCCTGGTTCATAATACCCCTGAAACAGCAACAAAACCATGAAGTGACCCAAACAAACACAAATGCACTGCACTTTTTAATTTTAAAGCCACAAGCTGTCAGAATGCTTCTGTTTTTGGCAGCTATTAACATAGGTGTATCATACTACTTAATATTTGTACAAATTAGGTAAATTTTTTAATGTGACTTGTCTATTCCGACCAGTGTGTATAAAAAGAGTGGGTTCCAGTTTCGTCCTCTGCTATTCACTGTTGCTTAGGAAAAACTGTTTAAGAGTGCCACCAAATTATAGGTTTATGTAACAGCAGCGACTCATGTAACCAGTAGTGCACGTATAATTGGTTGGCCAGTTTTATTTGCAGTGGCATGGAAAACAGATTAGAACACCTTTCTGAAAAGAAAAATGTGTTGTATTGTTGGCATGCAAATCTATTACATGCTATTATCACACTCAGATCATACTCAGGCTGTACCTTGATATCCTTCAGAACCAAACCCTCAAGTCCTTCTCTGATGACACGTGTGATCATTTCTGCCAGATCAGCAGCTCTCTGTTGGGACACAATGTCATTAGCTTTATAAAATCATCCACCCTCAAGTCTTATCATAACAAACTTTTAATTAACTTGACCTGCCTACACATTTGTAAGCATTCTTGAACATTGAGAACATATGTGACCATGGACCACAAAACCAGTCATAAGGGTCAATTTTTCAAAATTGAGATTTATACATCATCTGAAAGCTGAATAAATAAGCTTTCCATTAATGTATGGTTTGTTAGGGTAGGACAATATTTGGCCGAGATACAACTATTTCAAAATCTGTAATTTGAGGGAGCAAAAAAAATAAACATATTGAGAAAATTGCCTTTAAAGTTGTCCAAATGAAGTTCTTAGCAATGCATATTACTAAACAAAAATGAAGTTTTGATATATTTACGGTAGGAAATTGACAAAATATCTACATGGAATATGATCTTTACTTAATATAGTGAACACAACATGCAGTTTTTAAATGAAGGTTTTTATTATTAAGGGAAAACAAAATCCAAAACTACATATATATATATATATATATATATATATATATATACATATCTCTCTCTCTATATATATATATATACCCATACATATATATTTATTTACATATGTGTGTGTGTGTGACCCTGGACCACAAAACCAGTCATAAGGGTCAATTTTTCAAAATTGAGATTTATACATCATCTGAAAGCTGAATAAATAAGCTTTCCATTAATGTATGGTTTGTTAGGATAGGACAATATTTGGCCGAGATACAACTATTTCAAAATCTGTAATTTGAGGGAGCAAAAAAATAAACATATTGAGAAAATTGCCTTTAAAGTTGTCCAAAGGAAGTTCTTAGCAATGCATATTACTAAACAAAAATGAAGTTTTGATATATTTACGGTAGGAAATTGACAAAATATCTACATGGAATATGATCTTTACTTAATATCCTAATGATTTTTGGCATAAAAGAAAAATAAATAATTTTGACCCATACAATGTATTTTTGGCTATTGCTACAAATATAGCCCAGCGACTTAAGACTGGTTTTGTGGTCCAGGGTCACATATGCATGATAAGTAGAGAAGGAAAAGCATATATATAAAAAAAAAAAAAAAAAAACACTGCACAACTGACCGTGACATGCTTCATTTCTGAGAACAGAATCCTGTTAGGAACTTCCTTCATATTGTCATGGAGAAACTTTCTTCTCTCACAGAGAGGCCTGGAAAACATCACCACATCAACATCTTTTCGAGTCTTGCCATGAAAACCTCAATCAACATTTAATATAAAATATAAATGTGTAATTTTTCTCTAAAACCTGCAATATCTTTCAGATAAATGAAAAATGCATTCCTTTAGGTTGACTCACTTGTCCATGAGACTGACACCATTGAAATAAATGCAGTCGAACACGAACAGACCCACTTGAGCATCCTGGAAAGCTGCTTTCTAAAAACACAAACAAAAAGAAATTAATACTTTTATTCAGCAAGCATACATTAAAGTGATCAAAAGTAACAGTAAAGGCATTTATAATGTTACAAAAGATTTCTATTTCAAACATACTGTTCTTTTTTTTTTCTACAGCACTACAATACAAAATCCTGAACAAATGTATTAATATAAAATTAAATATTGATAATAAAATCAATATTTATTATATAAAAAATATTAATAAGTAGTAATAATATTTGACAATATTACTGTTTTACTTTATTTATACTCAAAATACATCCAGCCTGGGTGAGCATAAGAGACTTAATCAAAAAATAAAAAAATAAATAAAAAAATAAAAATCATACATATCCCAAACTTTTGAACAGTAGCATGAGTTTAAGTGGATTCATTTTATTATGCCTTTTTTTCCCTTTTTTTTTACAGCATCCATTCAGATCAGTCAAGTTACATTTGAGAGTTGGGACAGACGGCTCAGTGAAGCATCAACCTCCTGAACAGTTAGAAGACTCTTGGCTGCTGGAGGGAAAGACTTGCCGTCCTCAAAAAACATCCGCACCGTCTCTGAAACATCACCCTATATGAAACCGATAAAGATCAGAAAAGGAAAAAGGTCAAGTATTTCTCAAAACAACTGACTTCTTTTGAAAAAGAAATATGTTAAGCAATGTGACAAACCTGTTCCAAGTCTTGCACCATCTCATCCTGACTGCAATTCAATATGCGGCTGAAAAGCTTGACAATTTGTTTGTCATTGAGGTTGTACACATTCTTAACCACTCCTGGGAGGAGAAGCTTCACTGTCAGGTACAAATCTCCTCGGAATTTGTCTGTAAAGATGTGGGAGGCATATTAACGGAGAACAAAAAAAGATGCTTTTGATAACACTTTTTAAGCGATTTGTTTTCATGTTGGCCCATAGTTTCAATGCTCACCTCCACCAGAGCCTTTTGTTAAGAAGTCTCTGATGATCTCGGTCTTGGCATTATAGCTGGACTTCTCTGCGACTAAGGCACAAAGTTTGCGGAACTCCCGCAGTAAGCAGTCTTTATGGTTGGGATCACATAGCTGAGCTGATAAAGCGCTACCCTGAGTGGGTTTGGCTGGAGATGGTCCAGGACTGGAGGAAGAGGAACCGGCCTTGGTAGCTGTGGACACATGATAATCTTTGTATTAAGTTGGTAGAGCATGACAGTATTACATGATAGATTATACATCTATATCATAGCTGTCCAAAATGAACTTTTGTCCAAAATTATCTTTGGTGGGTTAAGAGAATTACTTGCCAGTTGGCAAGACATTTTATAAAACGAAATAGTGAGAATAATCTGAAACTCGTCCATCTTAATTTAAACCAAGATACACTAAATGTCTATATGAAGACGTCCAAGTCCGTCAAGAGATTTTTCTTTTAAATTAGCATGTTTATCAGGCTCCTATAAAAATAACACTGGACATTTTTGAAAATAAGCCATTTCATAACTGACGAATAACCTTTTTTTTTTTTTTTTGCAGTTAAAATGAAACTACTGAACCTAAACATAGGAGCCTGATAAAAATGCTTATTTAAAAGAAAAAAAAATCCCTTAGAAAAAAACTTTTGCATCTGTCTCCATACACAGTACTAAGTGACTACAAAGATAATTTGTACACATGACCTTTTATTCCTAAAAATAAAGAAAAAATCATTAAAAAAAAAAACTATATATAGAGATGAAAATATACAGCACAAAAATACAATATTGCAGGAATACTGTAATATAATTCATTATCAGTAATATGGCTGGTAAAAGTTAATTTTGGACAATGTAAATTATATTTAAATCTCTACGGTCTCTACAGCAACCAATATTAAGCAGCCAACTCTTTTTAACATCGATAAAAAGAAGATATGTTTCCTGAGCAGCAAATCAGCATATTAGAATGATTTCTGAAGGATCTGAAAATTGGCTGCTGGAGATTTGCCATCACAGGAATAAATTACATTTTAAAATATATTTCAACAGAAAATTGTTTCATAGTATTACTGTTTTTACTGTATTGATTAAATAAATAGAGCCTTGGTGAGCATAAAAGACTTTCAAAAACAATAAAAATATATATTACTGACCCCAAACTTCTGAACCACAGTGTGCATTACAAAAAGCAAAAACAACAAAAAATATCAGCAAAAAAAAGCATTTTGTGCAACTCTCTTAGTCTTGTACCTGTAAAGCCAGAAAACTTGCGAGGAGCATTGACTGTTGGATCAGATAGCGGTGCTGACAGCTGCCCACTGTTATTTAACTTTGCTTGCGCTTTCTTCTTTGGGGATGCATTGGCTTTGGCTGCCAGCTCTGTTAGAGAAGAGAAGAGAAGAGAGAGACTGCTCAACATATGTCAAGTCTACAGTGACAACTGATCATGCAAACTAAACAAGGAGAGTAAAGCAAACGGTAACAAATGGCCTGGATACCTGAAACATGTTTATTGATTAGCTCTTTATCCTCATCCTGAAGTTCCTCCCATCCCTCCAGCTCTGTGATGTCGTTGATTTTCTTCGTGGTGGCACGTGCTCTCTCAAGCTTCTCAAAGATGCACTTCAAGTGGTACCACTCCTTCATTTCTCCTGCAGACTCACTGAATGGGTTTGGCACTATCTTGCCAACCCGGACCAGCCCCTTCATGATCTTGTCTTTGCATTTCTTGCAGCCAGCCGTGCCACGTTTGGCATATTCCACACAGTATCTCTGCTCTGCCATGACTGGTCGTCCACTTTGCCACTCAGGCCAAGAAACGTGGAAATAAGAGCTGGAGCGGAGACTAAACTGGCGAATTTGTGGCACACAGAAAAAGATGCCACTGGGGCTAGATGCAAAGCCCCAAGAAAATATAAGAGTCCTGGAGCACTGGAGAGATGGATGATCTAGTGTTCCTCTAAATGAAGTTTCCCTACAAAGGTTTGGCAAAGATGATCTGCTGAGTGTCCTCACTGCCCTGCCAAGCCAAAGACTGGGCATAAAGTTCAGTAAAACGGAGTTTCCATCTTACACAGCAGAAGTGATTTCTGCAAGAAAATAGAAAATGCTCGTCTTTAAACAGCATTCAGCTGTATTTTTTGACAAACTAGAGTTGTGTGGAAATGTTAAGCTTAGTATTGTAAGTATAGGCTGGTGAGGTGGCAGCTAAACTGAAATAACATTTATTTTCATTAAGCAATAACATTATAAGAAAGAAACTTAAAACAACATCCAACTTGAAACATTCTTAGATGGCAGAGAAAAGAACAAATTAACACAAATGCCTAAACAGAATTATAATATGCAAGGGTATAAGTGTAATGGTATACATTCAAATCAATACTTAATGCAATTATATTCAAAGAGCTTCCAGCACTCTCAATAATCGGCCTGATTTTACTTTTTCACTACTAGTGCAGTTACATTTATGAATATGTCTTTGTGTGCACACGTATAACAGTCAATTATAATATAAAACACCTGCAGTCCAGCACAATACATTGCAGAAGAAATACATTAATAAGCAATTTCAGTTAACTTTAGTATAAACAAATACTAGAAATGTCATTTTCAAACAGCATGTGCCGAAATTGTCATTTGATACTGATATAATTGTCACTTACAATTCTATTTTCAGTGGTTCGGTTTACGTGTCGCTTTGTTGATCAACGTGGAATTAGCTCACATGCTAATCTTAGCTGAACAATGCAGCAGCAGCCATAAGACCAGCTAACTGTGAGAGGATATACAGAAACTCATCTCAATCACATTTTACCTCAGTTTTCAATGCAAGATGATCCCAGGCTCCTTGCGTAAAGATTTTCATTTTAAAAACAATTTACTAATGTGTTAGCAAAAAAAGAACATGATTTATAAATTGTGTGCGGTCCCCTTTAAATCACATGAGCGCTTCCTCTTTGTTTGGAAGTGTTTCCTGTGTAGGGATGGGCGTATCGATCTGAGGTATCTCAAACTATAAATATCGATACTAAGGTGTGTTTTATTTACCAGTGATTTTGTTTATTTAACAAAAAAATAATGCATTGAATTGGACGAATAACCTATGTTAGTAAATAATTGTGCAGGATAGAACTATATTCCATCTGAACACATGCAAATATTGCAAGACAGAACCAATCCATCACAGAGAGCATTCACTCACTTCTGACAGTGCATTCAAACAGGGCTGCTTTTCCCAAAAGTGTCATAAGAAAGCATTAACGCTTTTGGGAACGGCAGCCCTGAACAATGCTTATCAGAGGACAGAAGAAAAAAAACATATATGTTCGAGTTATTTCACAATAAACAAATTGAAATTAGCCTACATAGTTTGTGCAATTACATTTATTGAAATAGAACATTGAAAGATAATATTGATCGTATTCTATTCTGTAATGTTAATATAAATCATACACTGTCAAAAAAAAGGTTGCATTTTATGCGTGCAACAGTCTGTCACTGGCAGTCCCTTATGAAAACGAACCATGGTTTTACTAAAGTGACCATAGTTCAACTGTAGTATTTGTAGATTCGAATCATGTGTAAAAAAAACATATTTGAACCATGGGTAAACAAAAATATAACCTAATACGTTACAATTAAGGCGTATTGAATGTTATTATGCGTTTTAAATAAAGTTAAGTGGTTATCATTACCCATTTTACTCTTAGTAATGTAATAAATTTCATAATTTAAAAGTTTAGTTCAGAAGTATCGTATCGGTATCGATATCAATGATACTGCCTTGAAAAATATCGGTATCGTATCGAAAACAAAATAAGTGGTATCGCCCATCCCTATTCCTGTACAGTGCGCATGTGCACCGTACCCATGTTCATTTTTGCAATGTATTGGCCTGCTTTAGCCACAAATCCAAGGCGACCGCTATCAAACTCATCTTAAAGGGGTCATATGATGCGATTTCAAGTTTTCCTTTCTCTTTGGAGTGTTACAAGCTGATCGTGCATAGATAAGATCCCTGAAGTTGCAACGGCTAAAGTCACAAACCCAAAGAGATATTCTTTATCAAAGTTAAGACTCTGCCACGCCCCCCTAAAACGGCTCGTTCTAACACGCCCCCACATATCTACCTCACTATGTGGAAATATTAGCATAATGCCGCCCAAATGTTCACGCAAAGAAAGAAGACGTGGTTTCAGTAACCGCAGTTAGGGTTGAAGCAGCCATGTCAGGGAGACGCTGTGTGTTTCTAGGCGAAAGCAAAAGCACTTTATTTGGCCTTCCGAAAGTAGATGCATTTAGGAATCTTTAAGATGCTTTTTTAAAGATCATTATTTTGTGTATTTGGTGTAACAGAATATGTTGACATGCTTTAATGTTCAAAAAACATTTTTCAAATACTGTACATTATTATAGGTCCTCAATGGTCCTCAAGGGAGGGAAAAAAAGCTCGGTAAAAGGCGGGATCGAACCCGGGTCGATCGCGTCAAAAAGTCAGTGACACGCACTTATCCATCAGCACCATTGGAACTGATGTTTCACAGCCACTTTTTACTAAATGTAAATACACACCCCGTATTTTTTATTCCAGAGTAAGGGCAATTCATACAATACATTTAAACTGAGCTACTTTAATACCATCTCCAAACTTTCTACCATGACTCTGCTGTTCTTTGGCTGGTTCTTCCCTGTATACGTTGATTGACAGATGTCTCGTCCAGTCAGCGGTGAGTAATCCCAAACCAATGTGCTGTCTCAAACTATACCTACCTTTTCCGGTTTGTCTGATTTGTCGTTGTGTTTTCTGACTTGTTCATTTGTTTTCAGATTCTGACTTGTTATTTTGTTTTTGAATTTGTCATTGTGTTTTCTGACTTGTTATAATGTTTTCTGAATTGTTGTTGTGTTTTCTGAATTGTTATTTTGTTTTTTAGACTTGCATTTGCATTTGTAATTTGTTCTT